AATTTTGTATCCAGGTGAATCCTGAACTTCCAGACATTAAATTCACTAGATTATACTAAAAAAACCCTTTGCTCTTCTGGTATAAGGCAGTATAAGAGAGTCAGACCTTGAAACGTGATCACCATACATCTGATCTTGTTTCTCTAACCCTCCAAAATGAGGCCTGGGATGTAATTTGAGAGATCTTCTAGTCCAGAGCATTCACCTAATGCAAGATCACGTTCAGTATACATTAAGAATGCAGATCAAGTTTCCATGAGGTAATGGCCCCATTGCTTGCAGAAAGCAAACATGCCAGCACACTAAAAGAAAATACATTACCCAAAACTTTCATAAAAAGGTGTCAGCAACTGTTTGTTCATTAATACTCAACACTAGATTGTGGATCTTGCCTCAGAGAAATCAAGCCATTTCTTAAGACTGATAAAACGATTGCCCAATCCCCTTTAGTACCTGCTCCAGCAGGCCTTATCAACAGGACTGACATAGCAGATGCCTTAAATTTCTCTTTGTGCAGCCAAAACTCACATATTCTCTTTCTTTAAAAGGGCACTCTTGAAGACCAAATGGCTGCTAGGCTCTTACTCCCACTTTACTCAGACTGTCTCACACAATTCCTCTTTTCTAAGCCTCTTGGTATTCATAATGGCATTCTGAGGACTGCAGACTGTGGGCCAAAGCAGGCAGCACACATTATTCCAACTCATACCTGATCAGTACATCAGCTACAGGAGTAAATGTAACCCTTTGATATATTTATGACACTTCCAGCTTAAGAAGTGGCTTACATTATAAGCCCTTTATTATAACAGCCACAATGCTGCCAACACTGTGATCCCCTGGTATCTTTCTTGCAGTCTATTGTGTTGTCTCTTATGTTTTAAATGTTGATTTTCTTTCCCCTAAGCAAAACTTTGTTTACTGCATTTCTTCATATTGATTTCTGGCTATTATATCCCTTTTCCAAGTATATTTTAAACAATAAATCTATTCTTCAAAATTCTTTAGTATAGTGAAAATTTTACAATATTCTTCCTTCTGTTACTTAATGAAAGTATTGAACAGCAATGGAGCTGGGACAGAGAGACAGATGTGTAGGTAGAATCCCACTTGATAGAACCTCCTACTTCAACAGAAAATGTTTCCATTCTCTCTGAAAAAATATTTTAAACTTTTTAAAATGTTTCCATTTTACAATGACTTCCTCTTAGTTACCTCTACCTACTTATGAAAACATGGGACAGTAGCAGACCCCTCACTGAAATGAAAATACTTACACCCCATTTACTCTCCCCTCCTCACCACACCCCTTATTCACACAGAGCTACCTGCTGAAGATGAAAATGTGGAACCTTAGATGTTAATTTTTAATGTTGTATCTGATTTTTTAAATAATCTTTTCCAGGCCTATTGTTTGAGTCAAGCCTCTATAGCTTGTTCTTAGATCTCTTTTATTCTCAAACAGGATAAAGCATCAAAGTTTGCTGGCTTGAAGAACCTCTGTGCACAGGTACTGTAAAGAAAGGTGACTCAAGGTAAATACGCAAGGGAAATCCTAAGAATGAAGTGATGAGAAGAGACAGTGGCAACACGAGCTCACCACTGACATTACTGCATTCTGGTAAGAATGATAAAAATAAAGAACCAAATTCTGCTTTTATCAGTACTCATCCCCTGGGTGTTGCAGAACAGCTTGTTTCCAACAGAAACCCAAGCAGGCAGAAAAAAAAGCAGCAGTGTAATTCCATGGGTGCTCTTCTAGAACTACAAAATGCTGATAAAACATAAAAGTAGGAACGACATGACCCAAGCCCTACAATTCCAGATGGTTGTAGCTTTTTGTCTGTGTGCTCCATGTCCTGGAGAACAGGACACAAACCAAGGATAAGAATCTTCTGTGATACAGTGGCAGCAAATCACCTGAGCATGCAACTATCCTGAAATCAGCACCTGCCCCAGAGGCAAGCGGATGGCAGAAATACCACAGCAGTAATACTCAGGGCTGTGTCTGAACTGTCTGATCATCACATCTGCACCTGTTCTTGGTGTGCTTTTAAGCAGAAAAAGGAAAACTGAATCTCTAAAACCCCATTAACAGGCAGAATGAATGGCAGTAGCAGAATGAATGGCAGTAGGTTAGTAAAGTGAAATAGCTAGTCCTGAGGAGCCAGGGCCTGTGCTATAAGGATTTCAGAGGCAGTTTCACACTAAACTGGTTCCATTATAATACTATGGACTGAATGTACTGGGGGTACTTATGTGTTTGTAATCTGGTTTAGGTTCATCCTAAGGGAATGCATTTTTGTGCTCTGAGGTCACTCTGTGATGTAAGCCAAAGCTTGGTAATTCGGGAAAACTTGCTTCAAAAGCCTAATATACACGGACCTAACATGCTAAAGGGTGCTGAAATCTTTGCATGCATTAGAGGTCTGCCATTCCCTTAGCAAAGAACTGTGCTGGTTTTGTTGCCAAGGCCCTCCTCCAACTGTGAACAGGAGACAGACAGTGCCTGAAACATACAATTGGAGCATTCATGGCAGAGAAATGAATTCAGCTGTGTGAAAATTTTGAAAATTGAACAGCATTTTTTTTCAGGCCATATTTACCTTTACAAAAGGAGTTGATTGCACAAATTCCTTTTCAAGCTGCATTACACTCAGCAGATAAATTGTGCAAAGTATGGAGTACATTAAGTCACTGATAGTACCATGAGAACAATGCTGCAGTGTGATGTACAACAGAGATGGATGCCACTAAATCTACAGTGTTTTAGCTCAGTATTGAATGTATGCTCACATATCCTTTCAGAGATTACCTAGTTATTCACAGGGCCAATGCGCACATCCCTCCACACTACCCCACAACTGGGTCACCAGGAAACAGGGCAGAAATAGCCAGGAGGTTGTGAGTAGAAGCAACCCATGTGTGCTGGGCACAGTGATCAGAGTTTAGCACCTGTTGAGCAGGCACAAAGGAGGCAGCAATCTCCTCCAAGGACTGGGAAGGACCAGGATGCAGCAAGGCCCTAGGCTGAAGGGGAAGAGATGGCAGCCAGAGGGCAACAGGAGGTTGAAGAGCATGTGTCAGGCCTGGGAAGTGGTGAGAACAAAGCTGTGGTTGTGGCAGCCCTAGGTACAGGAGAGCTAAGGACATGAGATTGTGGTAATGATTAGCATCTCCTTGCTGCATCCCTCCTGTATTTTTGGAGTACTTTAAATCACTGTGAGCAGCATTTAGGAATAGGTCCTCCTGCAACCTGGAGCACCAGAAAAATGGTGCAGATACCTGACCAGCTCAGCAGCACCAGCCTCATGTAGCTGTACTTCTCTGTGTGAAGCACATGCCATTTGGATTTATTTCCAAGATATCCCATTCCCAAGTCACCTCAGGTAAAAGAAAACAATTTGATTTCATCTTTCTAAAGCCTGCACTTACTAGGATTTTTTTCAGAACACAGTAGAACAGATGCTTCTTAAGTATCTGCGTTGGCTGATTCTTGTACTTAAGAAAATTACCCTACATAGTTTCTTTGCAATGCTCTTGAGAAACCAATATATTCAAATTAAATGATTTGATATGTGATTCTGTCTTTTGGTAATAATTTGTCCTGTGAATCATAAGTATGGCACAATGATTACAGGTTTTTTAAAGAATGTTGTTTTGATTATTCTTCATCTGCACTTGCTTGAAGTTATTTTCATTCAAGTGATAATAAAGAATGTAATACAAGTGTTCCCGTATTTGTACTATGAACTCAATTCAGGAAAGTTACTTAAATAACGACGTCCATTTATCCTAAAAGTGTTTTTTTTTTTTCCTCCTGATCTCAGTCAAGACTGCAGCTCTACCATTCAAGCATAGACCTGTGCAACTCACGCCCTGTGGCCAGAAGCAGCTTGCAGAATGTTTTATCACACTCACATCGGAGACACACAAACAGGTTGGTACATTTTAATTAGCTTCTGTGCATAACAAGTTCCTAGGAAGCAACCTGGAGAACACTCTCGAAGCCACACTTCCTCCACCTTCATTCCTGCTGAGGTGAACAAGCAGAGCTGCTGGCCCAGGGAACGGAAGGGCTTGATAGGAACCAGGAAAAGCTGAACACCCTGGCTGGAGCACAGCCTGGGAAGGCACACGGTAAGAGCAAGAGGGCAAGAATATTTGGGAGCATGGTGTAGGGACTGCTTTGGCAAACTGAACATAAAATAAAAGGCTGGGTGTTGTGCTGGTAGAAGCTGGTATGCCACTCCTGCTTTTCACGAGGAAAGAGGTGAGAGTGTGTGAACAGGGTGGCATGGCTCATTTCAGACACCTGCACTGCAACTGGCACAAACCTGGATGATCCCCATACTGCATCCCCCGCAACTCCTAAGTCCATGATATAACCCTGCTAAATTCAAATATCTAATGATTCACCCATTTACCAGGATTCTGCATGCCGGCTATTTGCAAACATGAGGTTTTGATCAAATTATTTAAAGTAAGTTTTTCTTTCCCCCCCTCTGCCGGCTTTCTTAATTATTTCTCAAAGCCAGAGCATTCCTGTGTCCGAAGGCTTTGCAGACAGCCAGACAAGCAGCATCAACGCGTGCTTTCTTACAGAAACACCGCATGCCTCCAAAACCACGCTGCTCCAAAACGGGCACAGCTTTTACAGACCTTGATACTCACTCAAAACCCAGTTCACTCTGGCTCCACCGCGACCTGCCGCCCCGCGAACACCCCCCTCCTGCCCAGGGCACGCACTCCATCAGAGCCGGGCGGGCACAGGTGGAGGTGCGGGACATCCCCCTGCGGCACAGGTGGAGGTGCGGGACATCCCCCTGCGGGCACAGGTGGAGCCCTGCGGACCCTCCGGCAGCGGAGGGATGGCCCGGCCGGCCGGGGCCGCATTTCCAGCGGGGCTGGGACCTAGCTGCCCAAAGCGGAGCGCTCCGGAGCCGAGATGTGACCCGGGTGGGACCGGCCGCCCTCCCGGCCCCGGGGCTGCCCCGTACCTTGTAGTGTCGGAAGCCGTGCAGCTGCCGGCCGCTCACATACCGCCACCGCCACATCGCCGCCCCGCGCCGCGCCGGCAGCCAGGCACGGAGCGATGGAGCGATGGGAGGACGGACGAGGGAGGCGGCGGGGCCGGGGGCGGGCGCAGGGCGGCTCCCCGGCCGCGCCCCGCGGGCTGGACCTGCCCCCGGCTCCGGGCATCCGCGCCGGGGCTGCCCGCGGGGCCGGCTCCCGGGCGGCTCCCAGGACGCTGCGGTGCCCGCCTGCCAACAGGGTGTGTGTCACACCCGTAACGGCCTCACGGCACCCAGGCACGTCGCAGAATCACCTCCAAACTCTTTTTCTCGCTGCGGGTCTGTTAAAGATGCCGTATTTACGGGAGGACGCGCCCGTGAAGTCGCTGTACAAAACAATGCTGAGTAACAAATGAAAAACATGTCAAGTAACACTACCCAAACAATGTTAAGTGCCGTGTTTCGGAAACAAGTGACACCGAGGATTAAGGCTTATCTTTGCATTCCAACAATAATCTGAGTTTTGTATCTTGTTATTGCACCTGCACTGGAGCCTGCCACACCACATCAGTCAGCAGTGCGCTCTGTGCCTCCTGATTTCAGGGAAGTGAGGCACTGGGATAGGCAAAAAAACCCCCCAAACAACAAAATACCTGGAAAACATCAGGAGTAATGTTTCAGCCGCAAACATATTTCAGCATATGGCATAACACCTTGTGTTACCTTTGCTGTGTGCTACTGGGAGAGAGAGATGAAATCATACACGTCAGGGTCTGAGATTTTTATGGACCAAATGGAATCTATCCAGAAAGCAAATCAATTAAAATCCATTACTTGCACCCCACGAGGCATCTCATATCTTGTGAGAGTCAGTGTTATTTTACAAACTGGGCAGGTTTGATAGGAATTATGCACAAGTTATGATCGTTAAGTGCAAACTGTATGCAATGGTTCTTGTTCTGTATTATTAATTACACATTAATCAATTGAGATGTGCTTACACCTGCATTCTGCTTCCAGCAGCAGCAGCTGAACTTCTGCTCTTGAATACAACCCAGAATTTTAATACTCAGCATCAGGTTACTGAGCTAAAAGCTTGATATGAGTTAAGAAAGCTAAGGTGCATGAACTTTAGTTCATGAGCCAACTCTAATTTTAATCAGTGTTCATAGCCTGAATTTTGATTTGGGATCCCCTTCATTGTCATTATCACATTTTTAAATTGTGTTATGCTATTGAATTAATTTACAAGGGTACATAAGAAAAGATTCACAACCTGTACTGTACTAATTGCAGCTTTTTAGTGCTAGTTACTAAAACAGGCCAAAGCATTTTAGAATTATCATTTTCACTTCTTAACTCTAACCTTAGAAGCCTCAAACATGAATGTTGCTGTCCTATTGCAAAGGTTTCCTACCTTCTCGGTGATTTCCATGAGCAGCTCCTCACAGCACTGACTCCTTCTTCTCAGCACAGCCCATCTCACCTCTCAACCAGCCAACCTGCTCTTTTATAATACCCCTCTTAATTGGATCCAGCTGTGGCCTATTACAGGCAGGCTTGTTCTTCATTCTTGATAATTAGCACAGCTGTAACTCTTTAGGGGTGAGATTACTTTCACCACTATCTCTAGTCTCCTGCCTTCTATCTATCCACACATGAAAGCAGAAATTTGTCTGAACAACTATTAGGAATATGATGGACAGTAGTAGAAAAGGTGTTTGCTTTTCTGAAAGGTAGAAGGTAGACCAAAAAAAAGAATTTTTTCTCTTTGCAGGCTTCTGGATTTATGTATATAGATACAGAAGATGCATAGATATAGCAGACAAAGAATACAAGTTTTTTTCCCCTATTCTGTCAAAACTATTTTGGTGATAAATGAAACACAAAAACCCCCTCAAATCCTTATAAATACTCCACTAAACAGGAAATGTCAAAGACTGCCTACATATGAAAATGCAATTGCTTGAACTTCAGCATGTTCCATGCCTGCTAATGAGCGCATCAAAGGAGGCAGCATAAGTTATACTAAAGAGCAGGAAACAGTCTGGTGAATAAGTATGGAATATCACAGAGCAAGCTGAGACACAAGTAGCATGGGGTTTGAGAATACTTTGGAAATTATACTGATCTGCGAGCTGTTGATTTAAGGAATTTCCTCGGTTGAGGCATCAGGGTTCATATGAATAGTTGGCCTTTAAGACAACACACACAGACTAGCCAAGCTCAGCAATCCAAGCTCAGGCCATGTGTTTTACTGCTACACTGTGCTGTCTCCATGCATATCAGAATGGTAGGCAAATAGATGAGGGCTCAGGATGGCCCAGAATAAATGATAAATACATTACACCCACATATATATATATAGTAAATAATAAACAAATAACCAAATAAATCCTTGGGTTTCATTCTTCTCTCTCTGTTATAAGTTATAGTAATAAATTAATAATGAGGGAGCTTCTCAGATAGGGAAGACTGCCTAGTATGGCAACTTTGATTTTTAATAATTTATTGTGTCTTGTTTATTCCCCACCTTAAAGCTGTGTGCTATGCAATAGCCTTTATCTAGAAAGCATCTAATAGCACATTCCTGCCTACTTCAAGAAATGAAAAAAAGTAGAAAGAAGTCACATAGAGAGCAAATCTAAAATGATTTAGATGCCAAAGCAGTAGAAGAAGGGAAGAAGGAACTAATATATTACTCTACTCACTCTTTAACATACCATTCTCCCTTGGGCAAGGCATTTTTCAGGAACAGTGTTTGTAAAATCTTCAACACAAGGGTACACCACAGTCACGAATAGGCTAAAGTAGTATTAGTACTAGGCCTAAAAGAGGAAATTCAATATTCGGAGTTACTAAAATTTATAAAGTTCAGAGTTATCAGCCCCTCAGTAATTTTAAAATCTTGTTGAATTTAATTAAGAGGAAAAACTTTCATGGCAGTAAACTGGTCTAATGATTGAAGGTTAAAATATGTCACTTTTCTCCAGCTCTGAATATGGGCCTGCATTTTTTTCTCAGCAGCTACAGCCAAAAGAGAGTACTTTTATGACAGATGTTCAGTCTCAGATTGGAAAATATTATTTTATTTGCACTAACCCCATTAAACTACAGAGGCATCTCATAAAAAGTAGGCAAATATGTTTCCCAAATGTTACTGTCTGCCAGAAAGTTATGCACTCATACTTTTATAGCACTGACACAGAGAAATAGCAGGAGATGACAAAAATGTCAGCCACTGCAAGATGCCAGGGGAGCACTTGGAGCTGGGATGCTGGGATGCTCCAGCTTAGGCTCAGTGAGCAGCCAGGACACTCCAGGGGCTGGAGCCCCTCACATCTTTCTGACCCAGGGGCAAGGGCTGCTAAAGAGATGCTTGCTGGGTGTGCCGATTCATTTAAAACCTGGTTTTGCTTTTGATTCTTAAATGATCAGCTATTAATTTTTAATTTGTGTGAATGTTAGAAATTGACTCTTTGATCCACTGCAATCTGGCATCCCCTGAGGGGTTTTGTGGGGGTTTTTTTCGCCGTTTCTTCCACAGTTTACAGCTCGCCTCAGCATAGTGATGCACTGTACTGTGAAACAGTACCATTTAATTTAAAGTGGAACTGACATCATAGCTTGAGGATTAAAAAGATTTAAGTGTTTCATGTTATTTCCTAAAAAAAAAAAAAAACAAACAAAAAACTTAGAAAGCCTGGAATAATCAAACTGCAACACAGTCTGCAGAAGAAAATGTTATTTTGGATCTAGACTGTGATAAAAAAAAAAAAAACAAAAAAAACACTTAGCCTGGAATAATCAAACTGCAACACAGTCTGCAGAAGAAAATGTTATTTTGGATCTAGACTGTGATCTGTTTAGCCTAGGCCTTTGGATCACCTCTTGCCTGACAAACTCAGAAAAACCTATCTGACCCTGAAAGACAGACTCTAAAATATTTGATGAGTTTTTCCTCACCTACTTCATCCTAGTTCAGTATGTGGGATACTTGTGACTTTTAAGACTTTCCTGAAGAAAGGACTCAAACCAAAAACCTTTTTATGTGTTTGAATTTGACACTGTCTGTACCACACTTTGTACACTGGAAAGCTTTTAAAGCTCTAACTTAATGCTCTGTAAGAGGAAATGAATCCATAAACCCATATTAGAATGAAGGACAGGCACATTCAATCAATAGAAACAAGTGCTCCAAACTTCAGTAATTTAAGCTTTCTTACCTTTAACTCTTCTGTGTAAAATACATTTTGTTTCTTTGAAAAAGTTCTTTCTACATGTGGATTAAGGAACATTGGTGCAATCAACAGTACCACCAACAAATAAAGTCCCTTTTTTTCTGGATTTCACTAAAGAAATAAATTTTTATTCCTAACAGAAATTTTACTGTTTTCATAGAATTTTCATGCAACAAAAATACAAAAAGTACACCATTTCTTAATGTTCCCTGAGCAGCAGTAGATTTGATCTCGAGTGCAAATACAGTCAATCAGTATATCAGATAAAACAATGGACTCAAACCATTATTTAAGCCCGTGAAAACACAGATATGCTTGTATATGTAGTTGAAAAACCAGTTCATTAAAAAATGACCAATTGTGTTATTACTTCCAAAATATAATGCACACAAATTTTTAACTGTCTTGAAAAAGAATGTAGCAGTATTATGAAATTTCAGCTTTTGTCAAGGAGCCTGGCTTTTATTAATCTTCCTTCACATTATTTCTAATAATGAAATTGGGACATTATTTTTTAAAAAGCCGCGACTCTGTTTTAGTTCCTGTGGTTTTCTCATATGCTTCCTCTACTTCGATGTCATTTCAGTACTTGTTTGTGAAAAACATGCAAACAAACAAAAAAAATCTATAGATGGGGTCACCTTCTTGGGATTCTACAGAAGTAAGTTCCTCCCAGGTTTGAGCACCTTGGAATTCTTGGAAAGAGTTTATGTACAGAAAAAATACACTCACTAAAGTAGACCAGACTTCTGTGGTCCATTTCTCTGTGGTTTATCTCTAACATAAGATTGTTTAGCTAATCAGTGTAATAACATACATTTAAAAGAAAAAAATCTACCTTGAGG